TTCGAGTGCATAAGCTTGCACGTACCTCGAAAAATTGTCTGCGATGGTTAAGAAGTACGACTTTCCTTTCAGCGACGGTGTTAGCTTTCCTACTAAATCTACACCGACGCGCTGCAGCGGATAATAAATCGATGAAAAATCCTAAATCCTTCTTTTTAATCTGCCTTGATACTTCCTTTGCTGACAAACGGTGCATGTTGCAATGTGTTGTCGTACGTCACGCAGTAAGCAGGGCCAATAGAACATTTGCTTCGCTCTGTGCGCGCTCTTCACTACTCCAAAATGGCCTCCGAGTGTGGAATCGTGTGCCAAGTACATTGCATCATGCCGCAAACTTTCTGGTATAACCAAGCGTAATTTTGTTTCGGTGCTCTCGGGTTCTTCGTTCCCTTGTTGCTCAATCAGAAAAAAAGACCGCCGTCGTACATAGTATATTTTTCGATAAGGTGTGCATCGTGAATCTTACGCGTCGTGCCCTCGAGTATCGCGATGGTTTTGGCCAATTTATCGTCGGCCAACTGTGCGTTCCGCACCTTTTTTTGAGTCAAAGACGTTCGCGGGGTCGCTCCCATTCGATGCAGTTTTCTTGCCGATAAAGGCAATTTGTCAGAGAGTAGGTCGCGGAAACAAGTCCTAATGTGTTTAACAACAGACCTAGTTAGCTATGAGTCCACGGTGTCACTGAGACCTTGCCATAATGCATATGTGTCACAGAGACACGTGATCGATCACGCGATCAAGACCTTAGCGAAGCTTATAAAAGGTCTAGCAAACTTAAGTAGTGCCCCCAGTAGCTGATGAGCACTCCGCGATGTAGCGTATAGCTTGAGTCGCTCCGGCCTAACCGGCCGGCACTCGCTTATTCCTATCTATTATAACTCTCGCGTATTACCACCCCGTATAGAGATAATTTCTCCAGTCAGTCATGTGGTGCATGCCAAATCTCTCAACCTGTGACAGTGGCGCACCCGAACAGTGTCCCTCATACCTGTGACAGTGGCGCATCCGAACTAAGTGATAACAATCGTGTTGTATTAAAAAGTGAAACTCGGTTGCTTGACTATAATTGTGAGACTTTGAATACGGTGGTGAAGTGAAAGTCTTTTTAAGTGTATGTGATTATAGCAACACTGTCGCATAGTGATTTTCGTGCGACCAAGCCTTTCAACGGATTGTTTCTGCGATGTTTAACCCATTTAAACGTCTGAAGAAGAGACTAGAAGACCTTCATCTACTAATTTATGTAGCCGAAAACTATGAGAATATTCAAGTTTTGTCTGGCGCGTCTTAGTTAACCTGCAACGTCAAGACTGTCAAGCCTACAACTGACGCATAGTAATTTGAAGCGTCCACGCATTTTTTGCGTTCTCTGAATCCAGTACAACATGCAGAGCCAAGAGCGTCTACGAGAGCGTGTTCTCACATAATGAACTTCCTACCAATGAATGAATAGCTGTAATTACATGTGATAATATATTAATCCTGTAAATTTAAATACTGTTGTCTCCCATTTGGTTTATATATTCACTCTTCAAAATATATATTGCTAGAAGTCGTCAATTAAATGGCTTGACAAATACCGTAACAAAATGTACGTGTATTAATTCATTTAGCTTATAGTGAATATTAATTATGTGAAGACTTTTGTGGTTTTAGAGATGAGCTTTGATGTTTTTTTTCATGTTAGCATGGCTAAAAACGTTGGTTAGAATTAAGGAACGGGCTGACATATGGGACTTTACATCTAGGCGAGTTTCTTAATTGAGTTCCGAGATCGCATTAAGTAGGAGCAACTTAAACTTACGTCAATGACGTTAGCTTCAGAACTAAGGGTTCATTTAATTGTACTCGTGTTTGCTCATTACCAAAGATTTTAATGAACGTTGCAAATGTTCATTTTGTTGTTATGTAACAAGTGAATCTTTAATGAAATATCGTCCTTACGCTGTTTTTTTAAATGAATTATTTCCATTCAATATATATCAGCAAAAGTCGAATGTAGCGACTGAAAAATCCTCGAGCCACAAGAAAGGCATCTTGAGTTGATTTACGTGGTTTGGAAGGCTTGAAAAGCTAGAGGTTCGTGAGTAGAGTAATTATACAATTTTACCAATTGTCCGCAATGGCAGTTACCGAATTGATTATGGTGGATGTAGCATATACGACATTCTGTAATATTTTTCCATGTCATATAATGATATAACTCTTGCGTGAGGTAACTTATACGAATCTATAAGTTTTACAAAGTGCTGCAAACTTAAACGAGTCTCAAGACTCTGATTAAAATCTGAATCCGTGGCATAAATAAATAAAGCTGATTAAAATAATGTTGCATTGTAGCATAACGATTATTGAATCGGGAGGTAGAATTTTAAAAATAATTCTGACCAATATATACCCGTATTATTTAAATTGGATTTCGCTTTGAGTATCAAAGATGTTGTAGACATATCTAATTATATAACGCATGTACAACTATATCCCAAAGAATAGTGCTTTAAAAGTACATCGCGAAATGTGTGAACATACACGTGAAGGTTGTGAAAAAAGCACTAGCGTCTTTGAACGACTGGTTCAATGGCATTCGCTCAGAGTGTATTGACCTTAACGCGTGCCAATATGGGTTTCAGCATTGATAAATATGTGCATTGACGAATGTATCTATTGTAAAATGTGTGCGTATACGAAGGAACACATTATGATTATATGCATTGATAAAGCGTGCATTGATGTTACCAGAGCTATAATTATGAACTAGACGTTTTTTGATGTGAACTATAGTAACGTCTCGTAAAAGTTCAAACAGGGTCATTTTTAATGATTATATGAACCTGTATTATATATATTCAGCCATTATGTTCATATATATATACTCATCGACGCTACAATGTGTAACCAAATGCGTAAGTGATGTGACGCGCAATCGAATAAATGTAATTTACATTTGGCGTCTAAATAATGATTCACTGTGCATTACGATTTGCTGTTACCATACTAGTTTGAAATTTGACTAATAGGTCATTTCGTCACGATTATAAAGAATTTCCGCCCTTCAACCGTTAAACCTCCAACATTCAATATGAGATGAATTGGGCTAAAATATTGTTGAATTTAAAAAATTCAAAGTTCGAGTATCCAAGACTCGCCTAATTGCCCTATATATAAATATAAAATATTATCCTCTTGAACGTATAATAATGATGATGAAGTGAACCTTCATTATAACTTAGAGCAGCAAATAATTGTGAGCATAATTGTCGAGTAAATCTACCGATAAAATTTATGCCACATTAAATGTAACGAACATTAATTTAGGCAGTGAAATATTATTGTATAATTAATTTCCGCCTATGTTTGTTTCTTTTGCAACACAATGTTCAACCGTGCTACGTTGATTTATCAATGTCTTTTGGTATTTGAATGCAATATGTCATGTTCTACTCTATATTTTTCTACCATTTTTTCAATAAGATAATGTATGTTATCCACTTAATTGCATTAACTGTAAAAGGAATGAATTGATGTACTGAGATATCCAAGCGTATTTAAACGGTAGATTTAATCTTTAAAAGTAGATTAAACTGCAACAATTGTTTATTGTACAGTAATGAGTAGATAAAGCCGTCAAGTACTGGCAGTTCTTTTGCATCTTAACGAGTTCAACGTACCATATATTATATGCTGACTCGATTTAGCGTAATTCAGTCAGTAATTTTTTTCTCCCTCTGGATGGTCGAGAAATATTTTTTTAGCAACCCTCATTCTTTGCAACGATGTCAATACCCTGCGTGTATTGAGCCAATCATTTTCTCATGAGGATGTAATGTATTTACAATTACGTTGCTTATTTTATTTCGTTGTTATTACTAACCATTGCACTATTAATAAATGTGTTTTCTTCGAATACAATCATGTGCACTTTAATATAAAAAGGTGAAATTTTTGAGCTGAATATAAATACATATATCCGTGATTACGATGAATGTGCTAAGTTATAAATAACCTTTTCTAACGCTTGATCATGTCGTGAAAAATTTTCTATTCCGATAATTCCATAATGCTTGAATTAATTCCGACGATTGATCTCGTAATTCACGAAAAGAACTCGACCTCAATTCACCGACAATTTTTTTTGCTATATGAGCAAAGAATTTACTGACGATGCAAGCAGCATTTGCTTACCTTGCGCAAAACGTCTGTTCGAAATCGCTATGTAAGCGAGATATATTCACGCTCAGCGATGGTAATTAATAAGATCTTTAATTAATAGGACAAGCGATCTAATTAACGCACATAACAATAATACGGTTCATGGAGTTCATTCTTGATGAGACTTGCCAAATGCAAGAGATCGTGATATTATCAATACTGAGGTGACGAACCATTCAAGAGGACGAACCGAAGTTAAAAGTGATAACTTTACTGAATATTGAATTGATTCGTTATTAATTAGCTGCCAATCTGTTTTATTCATCTCGTATTCAGCATGCTTGCCTGACATGTTTTCCCTTAGTGGAGTTTGGAGTCTGCTTGATCAGGTCATTCAAGTGGTTATAAGCCAATGAAGTAAATGATGTTTAGTAGCTCACAATTCACCAGGTTTTGTTAGACAGATTCAGACTGAATAGCCACAACGATGGAATTTAATTAAAGTAATTCACAAAGTGGATCTGGATGTTGTGATGTCGGGATATAACTGGGGGCTGGAATTTATAATTTCTTTTGATTTGCTCGCAATTTTTGCATTATATATGGCAAACAACCTATTATTATATATGCAGTTACCCTTTGATTAACAGAATATAATGTACATAATAATTAAATGCTGATATTAGGATTGTGAATATTTCAGCTCGCGTTTATTTTTGTCAAGACTTGTCTTACTTGTATTCATGTTCAGGTTTTCCAACGACGAATTAGTGAAATAAATAATTCTGGAACTAAGTTGTATAATGCTCACTCTTCATAGATTCAAGTTGTGGTAAAATTTTCAATTATTTTGCAATCGATTTTTATTAGGAATAGTGAACCATGTCCCTTTGAACTTCTTAGAATAATAAATATAATATATGATTTCACTTGTATATGGACTATTTCTAATTAAATTCTGAATGTGCAGGATTTGCGGTGGCTTTATGAAGTAAATGTTCATTGAAGTATCAATTTCCTTGGACCTTACGAATTAAGGCTACCGTTAGGCAGCTAGATTACTACAGAAATATAAGTAACTAATCGAGTCCGCGACAGAACAAGGTATAACGAAAGTGGTCAAATATATTGATAACGCCATACAGAACTAGACAGCGCTAATTTTTGTTTGCAGAGTACTTCAATTTACTTCAGTCTATAAATAAGAAGTTTGATGACTACTGAATATAAAGCAAAATATTCATCTACTACGATATATAAGAAAACTACTAAATAGCAGGTTTTTGATTGGAGAATAAATATTCCACTGTATTAGTGAAATGTTTACTATAACTATATCTAGCATATAACTCTGGTCATATCTTTATGCAATTAACTGGGAGGGTTTCCACTTAGGAATAATTTTTAAATATTTCAAAATTAGGTTATATGTGGGATGTAATAGTCAACTTCGCTGAATAGTTTTAAAATAACTCTATCAAACCATAAATTTGGTTGTCAGGTGTCGCTGAAAATACAAAGCACAGATTCAAGCCAACAAACCAAAATATTATCCTATTTAATATCATGATTCCAGCAGCGTAGAATGGAGTTCAGAGTTTAACAATGTCTAAGCATTTTAGTCGTATATTTAGTTATCCAGCTTGCCGTCGAGTAACTTCATATGTTTCATCAGCATTTCATGTAGTCCTTCCACCAAGTCACATGGGGGAGTCTTCAGAACGGCGTCAGGCAAAATCGCATTCAATTCGCTAATCACATTGTTGAGCGACTTGGACATATCCAAATCTCTCCAGTATTCATGAAGAATCTGAAAAAATTAAAAATTTGCTTGTAACGAAATGTTTTCAAAAATATGCTGTATTTATTAGTCTTGACACTAAACAAAGCATGAACTATAGATTTATATGAGTAAATTCGATCTTTTTCGATCACTAATGTAAACCGTATGAATTCAGTTATTTCCGAGTCAGGTACAAAACCTGTTACTTGGATAATACAATAGTTCGAACATTGTTTTCTGCACTAAGTTCAGATTAATATGAAAAATCTGTCCATGAAATTTATGGAAAAATTGAAAATATCAACTTGTAAACTATTCTGAGAATGAAGTAGATTGAACGAGATGTTCTGTTTCCATAGCATTCAGGAATGCATGGTGAAAAAATCAGAAGTAACAAAGAACCAAAGGTTTCGGAAACGTTAGTCACTCGTTTTAGCACATTATACAGCCATCAGTTCTATACAAGTTTACACGAATGCAGGGTTTGATGTGTAACAAAGGTACAGACGTGACGAGCACCAACTGGAATATATTAGTTTTTAGTTCTGCACTCATGAATTTATTTTGAAAATGGGAAACAATGACCCAATAATTTTGGCGAATAAGCTCACCTTTAAAACTACATTTCTGTCCTTGAAAAACGCGCCGCCATTTCCATGGACTGCATGGACACCGTTGGCTACCAGCCCGGGGCAGCGATGAGTGACGTTGGTGCACAAGCCTAAACGAAAATTCCATTCACAGTCCATCTCGTAGAAATGTTCAGGATTCTGGGGAGTTAATTAAGAATTTTTTACAATTTATCAGTAATGATATTATAATTGAATGCGTGCGTATACCTAGAAGACAGAGGCATTGAATATTAACTAAGAAATGAACGTAAAATTTGTAACTTCAACAACTAGTTTATGTGATTTTATTAATATAAAAGTTTGATAATTTTTACGCCTGTAAAATACAATAATTAAACATTCTACATATGAACTTTATTAATTATATGATAGGATCCGAAATTACACCTCATTAAGTTATCGGAATTATGTGAATTCTTCGGTATAACGCGAAATTTAGTGTCAAATAATTTTATCAATTATACAAAACTCAGTCATAAAAAATTCACTGGTATGAATAAAAAAGAACTAAGAATTTAAAAGCAAAGAATAGTCCACAAAAATTCATATCGTTATAGAAAACGTTGCGGAGACCAGCTCCATCGTCAGTTCATAGAATCTAGAATCACAAGTCAGAAGTCACAAATTAATATATTGAAAGCGCAGAACGAAATCAAAAACCTAAATTTACAAGTAACAAACGGAGCACATAAAAACTATCTATTCACAATTTCAAGGGGATAGGAGCTAACAGCTGAATTCAAACTGGGCCTAAGTTTAAAAATGTACAATGATTCTAAAATGCGCAAATCGGAAGTCCCGGAGGTGGAAGCTAAAACCCTTAAGTATCTGTCAGAAATGCTCGGCGTGAGCGCGCACAGCCGAAAGAGAAGGGCGCGATAGCGACTGTCCGATTCTACAACTCCTGCCCTTATGCTCAGAGACCCTGGAATAAAGATTGCGTGACGTCATCCCGACGTACGCAGATGCACATCATGCACAACAATATTGATGAACCAGGGACGATCGCATATGAATAGGGAGCATATCTTTATATCGAAATAAAACCGATTGTGAAATTGCTTACCAGCACAATATGGAGATTAACATCTTGGAAGTATCTATTGAACAAGACTTTTAATTCTTTTGACATAGCTTCGGACGCAGGGCCGAAGTATGGAAAAGAACAATAAATAACGTTCCTACTATCGCGCTCAGGAGCAACCTCACTGTATCGCTTCGACATGAATTTCTTGATTTGGGTAAACACCAAACTTGCCGGAAATCCATTAAGGGAGAAAATATTGCGTAAAAATTCAAATTTTGCGTGCATAGCATGGTATGTAGAATAAATGCGATAACCTCTGTGTAATAATGTTTGAAGCCCATCTAACTTGAATCGGAACGAACAAAAACTAAAGGAACTGGTACTTAGGCTGGCGAAAGTCGGTTTTCGGTACACAGAAGTCAGAAAACGGCCATTAGATTTGGTACCATTGCAATCGAGGAAGGACAAACTATTGTTAGATTCAAGCTCCATAATAAATTTGATAGAATTATGTTGCGAGTTTAAGTAATCAAAAAATGGTTTGACATGAGAAGGATGTTTGAAAATTAAAAAGATGTCATCGACGGATCTGTTATAGAATATTGGCTTAAAACCGAAAGGACAATTGGCTGCCAAGAAACTTCGTGAAAACACATAAAAATATTTGTGAAAGTCGGGCCAAGCGGGAGTCCCATGCCTAAACGGTCAATTTGTCTATAAAACTTGCCCGCGAATATGAAAAACGAGTTAAGAACTGATAATTCTTAAAGAGATTTAAAAAATTTACGGTTTAAACCAATCACAAGATTATTAATATGAGGCAATAGATCGTCAAATGAGGCCATAGTTAAATCCCGAACGTCGGTAAAATTCATCAAGCGATCCACAAACGTATAAGAATTATCAACAGTATACTGATTAGTCGTAAGACAATTTAAAACTGGTACCAGAAATTTAGCAAATTTAAAACTAGGAGTATTATACGCGGCCAAAGTTGAAACTTCGAGGAAAATGGAAACTTCGAGGCAAAATCAGACTTGTGAATTTTAGGTAAGCCATATAAAATACCAGGGCAAGAACCAGAGGTATTAAGTTTAGTATAAGTTTCAGGTGAAAGGGCAGAAGAATCTTTAAGTTTACGCAATAAATTACTGATTTTGTCTTCGATTTTCAAAATGATTTTAGAGATCTTATCTGTAATTTCAACAAATTTCGAAGGATCGGTGAGGAGTGCATTTAGGCTACTGTTGTAGCGTCTACGATCCACCAGAACAACACTCTTGCCCTTATCAACGCCCTTGCCCTTGGCTGGCAATTGTCCTTTCGATTTTAAGCCAATATTCTATAATAGATACGTCGATGACACCTTTTTAATTTTCAAACACCCTTCTCATGTCAAACCATTTTTTGATTAGGTAAACTCGCAACATAATTCTATCAAATTTACTATGAGGCTTGAATATAACAATAGTTTGTCCTTCCTTGATTGCAATGTTACCAAATCTAACGGCCGTTTTCTGACTTCTGCGTACCGAAAACCGACTTTCAGCGGCCTAAGTACCAGTTTCTTTAGTTTTTGTTCGTTCCGATTCAAGTTAAATGGGCTTCAAACATTATTACACAGAGGTTTTCGCATTTGTTTTACATACCATGCTATGCACGCTGAATTTGAATTTATACGCAATATTTTCTCGCTTAATGGATTTTTGCAAGTTTGGTGTTTTCCCAAATCAAGAAATTCATGTCGAAGCGATACAGTGAGGTTGCTCCTGAGCTCGATAATAGGAAAGTTATTTATTGTTTTTTTCCATACTACGGCCCTGCGTCCGAGAGAAAAAAGAATTAAAAGTCTTGTTCAATAGATACTTCCAAAATGTTAATCTTCATTTTAGTGCTGGTAAGCAATTTCACAATCGGTTCTTTCTTTCGATATAAAGACATGCTCCCAATTCATATGCGATCGTCTCTGGTTTACCAATATTGTTGTGCACGATGTGCATCTGCGTACGTCGGGATGACGTCACGCAATCTTTATTCCAGGGTCTCTGAGCATAAGGGCAGGAGTTGTAGAACCGGACAGTTGCTATCGCGCCCCCTTCTTTCGGCTGTGCGCGCTCACGCTGAGCAGTGCGATGTCCCTATTTCTAACAGTGACTTTAGGGTACTAGCTTCCACCTCCGGGACGTCCGATTTGAGCATTTTAGAATCATTGTACATCTTTAAACTTAGGCCTAGTTTGAATTCAGCTTTTAGCTCCTATCACCTTGAAATTGTGAATAGATAGTTTTTTTGTGCTCCGTCTATTACTTGTAAATTTAGGTTTTTAATTTCGTTCTGTGCTTTCAATGTATTAATTTGTGATATCTGATTTGTGATTCTAGATTCTGCAAACGGACGATGGAGCTGGTTTCCGAAATGTTTTCTATAGAGATATGAATTATTGTGGACTATTCTTCGCTTTTAAATTCTTAGTTTTTTTGCGATTTAAGCAAAAAAGTGATATCAATTAAATGAAAAAGAATTTGCGTGAAAATTTTGAAACAAACCGGAAAGTTAAATTCAGTTACAAAGGTTAATTTTCATTACTTGTTCCGTTTCAAGCGAAAATTTTGAATAATAAAATCGCCATTATTATTAGAAATTGAATTCACTTCGGAATTTTTCATACCAAATTCATCATAAGGTTGAAAAGGCTCTGTTCATTAAATGCAACAACTTCCAAGGCCGACTGGAGGGCGGCCTGCCATTTTTCAGCCTGGCTCCTGATGCGCGTAAGATTGAGGAGCAGAAGACCAGCGTTGAAACCCCGTCCAGCAAAATTGACCATCTACGATCGATTAGAGAAAAAAACTTAGCACTTTCTACGATTGTTTAAATAAAAAACTTAGCAGTTTCTACGATTGTTTAAAGAAAAGACTTGGCACTTTCTGCGATTGTTTAAAGAAAAAACATAGCACTTTCTACGATCGGTTAAAGAAAAAAATTTAACACTTTCTACAATAGTAATGAAAAAACTGAGCACTGTCTACGATCATTTAAAGAAAGTACTAAGCACTTTCTGCGATCGGTTAAAAAAAACTAGCAATTTCTACTATTGTTTAAAAAAATTAGCACTGTCTACCAACTAGGAAACAACAAAGGAATAACTTCCTTTGCTGTCTACCAACAACAAATGAATAACTTAGCACTTTCTACGATCGGCTGAAGAAAAGAATTGGCACTTCAAACGAATTTAATCATACATTGAGAATCATTTTTATCATTCCTACGTTCACACATGAATTTGTTATTACAGATATCGCATCTTTAAGTGAAAAGTAGAATACTAAGAGATTTTATTGATACTAGTATGCTTAAAAAATCGTCGAATGACCTATCCTCGCCCCCAATTTATTTATTTTATTTGGAAGGATTCCCTCTAAAACTTGAATTTCAACTGACCATTCCAAGCAACCAACCAAGTCCTTTACGCAACCTAGTAAATAATGCACAGTTTAGTACGCCAGGCCATGATTAGAATTAATGGATTTAAAATGTTGCGACTAGCTATCATGACCGTCAACTCTTACAAGAAAAGTATTGCAGTGAGTTCGATCTATTGGTCTACTTTCAAATCAACTGCTGTCTTTTATTATCAGTTATTATACAAAAATAAGGTATTCAGATCAAGTTATGGAAAGAATCATGTTCGCATATTAGTGCGTATTGAATGTCACTTGAATACCTCGAACAAAAAACAAGTGGTTATTATATTGTATACAAACCTTTTCAAATTCGGTGAAAGGTTTGTCATTGAAGATTCTCCACAAAGGTGTTACAGCTCCAAATAACTGCTCATCGTTGAAATTTTTAAATACTCTCCACAGATCTTCTATCGGTCGCAGGAACACAATGTCCGTATCTAAGTAGATTAATGCGTCTTCCTCAGGGTACATCTTTTCAAAAATTAGTTTCTTAGAGACGCACGTCACCCTCGTTTTTTCCTCAACTCCCAGCGTCGATTGAGATGAAACTTTTCTAAACTGAGGGAAGGAGAAGCTACATTTCATTATTTAATACAGTTAGGTATTGATTATTCATTAATATTCTCACTTTCTCGAATACTAATCGAAAACAGTAAACATATGGTGAAATTGTCGAGTCATGTAACAGACGAGTGTGTAACGCGATGCTGATGTATAATGAAATATGCAAGATTTTAAATTTAGCTAATATAGGCCAAAGTAATATGCACAAAGGTTGAGTCACACCAATCCTTTCAAATTTATCTCTTTACATAGAATATAGATCTCAAATAATAAATAATTTTATAAGATAATTTCGATTGAAACCAGATTTTCACTGATGCACTTTCTAAAATGCGCTCCATCGACACTTTAACATATAGCAAAGAATTGATGTCACTTGTTTGCTTAAATCGCAAATTAACTAAGAATTTAAAAGCATAGAATAGTCCACAAAAATTCATATCTTTATAGAAAACGTTTCGGAGACCAACTACATCGTCAGTTCGTAGTGTAGGAGCTAACAGCTGAATTCAAACTGGGCCTAAGTTTAAAGATGTACAATGATTCTAAAATGCGCAAATCTGAAGTACCGGAGGTGGAAGCTAACACCCTAAAGTCACTGTCAGAAATATGGACATCACACTGCTCAGCGTGAGCGCGCACAGCCGAAAGAAGGGGGCGCGATAGCAACTGTCCGGTTCTACAACTCCTGCCCTTATGCTCAGAGACCCTGGAATAAAGATTGCATGACGTCATCCCGACGTACGCAGATGCACATCGTGCACAACAATACTGATAACCCAGGGACGATCGCATATGAATTGGGAGCATATCTTTATATCGAAGGAAAACCGATTGTGAAATTGTTTACAGCACAATATGAAGATTGACATTTTGGAAGTATCTATTGAACAAGACTTTTAATTCTCTTGACATAGCTTCGGACGCAGGGCCGAAGTATGGAAAAGAACAATAAATAACTTTCCTACTATCGCGCTCAGGAGCAACCTCACTGTATCGCTTCGACATGAATTTCTTGATTTGAGTAAACACCAAACTTGAATCCATTAAATCGAGTCGAGCCTTTCAATACCTATCGAGTCAATACCTAACTTCTTGGGAGTCAATATCGAGTCAATAGCCGAGTAAATACCTATCCTCTTGGGATATTAAGCTGATTTGAAATGTTAGCTAAAGTGTAAGGATTCAAGAAAAATAGGGAGGGAGAGACGGAATGAAAATTGTTTTTTTTTTCGCACGTGTTTTTTTTCGCCACGATAAGAACAAACGAAAATTTTCTTCGAACTTCGAAGCTAAAGTTGAATGGGAATTATAAATGAGCGATGAGTTTGAATGGGGTAACTCTTATTATTATTACTGTAGTTTTCTGGAGAAACAACGAGAGTCTGATTAAAGAGATTTTAAGACTATAGGATTAAGACCATAGGGATTCTGTAAAAGTTGGATATTTTCTTTTCGCATGATTTTATCTATTATCGGCATCGGTTGACTCAGCTGTTAGTGCATTATTAATTGATAATTCTTAATTGATTCAAAGGAAATATGAAAAGTGAGTGATTCACTTCGTATCCACGTACGGACTATATTTCAAACCTTTAGAGCGATTTTATTGCGTTGTTGTGGAGGCCAAAACTCCACCACGGAAGTAATTCCTCTGATCACTTCATTAGAATTCACTAGTACATGGAGTCTGGAAAATAATTTTAAAATTTATAAACAAATGTCATGAGTGTCATTAAATTACCATTATGTACATGGTATCTCAACATACATTACTACATCAGAAAGAATTGTGATGCTTTAAACTCAAGCCCTCCAAATTTAATTTATGATACCCCCATACAGCATTAAGTATGTTTGTAATGCTCTGTAATTATCGTTTCAAATATAGTATTTAATTGAAATAAGAAATGCTGTTAATTTCATTTAAAAATCATACAATAAACATAGTTTTCTTTATATTAATTGTTTCAATGTCATTTGATTAAATTTTTTAGCTGAAATAGGTTACCGATGTCTACAGACTAATTCATCTCCCTTGATGTGCTGCTGTGAAAGAAATACTATTGATTTCAACAACGACTTTGCGCGATCAATGTGTTGCTCGAATGATGAGATGCTACCTTTGTAAGGTTTCGTCTCATCGGCTGTAGAAACATACACTCGAATCATGAGATAGAACGAAACAAATATATATTTTTTGCATCTCTAAATCGTTCGGTGCAGATATTCCTTGCAAACTGGAGGAATAATTACATGTAATGCCGATAATTTATAAAAAATTTACTAATTGTATTAGTGTCAAAATTGGGAATATCATCACATGATGTAAAATATGATTACACAAAGGCTAGTTGCCCAGTATCTTTAACCATTTCAGACTAGGTTATGTTAAGTTACTATGGGGATGATTGCACGGTGCATGGGTTTCATTGCGTTATAGGATTGAAAACCGTAGGAAAATTAAAACGTCTGAAAAACGTAGGAAAAATATTAAATAAAATTGAAAGGCTGACTCCTGATCCGGTTCATGCAAAATAGTGAAGAGCTCAAACACATGACGAATGAATTGATATTAACTTATATTTCGATCGAGTTTATAGTTTATTTGCAAGCAAATTTTGATATTTTCTGACGCATGGTGTGGATAGCGTGAAGTTAAATATGGAGAGCAATCTGCTAGGATTATGTAAAGCAAATGTCCGTGAAGGCGCTCATCAAGTTATCAGAACTAACTGTATTAAAAAGTATATGAATCGATGAATACAGAAAAAGAATATTATGTTACAAATATTTCAAACATAATTTCGTTTTCATACTAAAAACTTCAGGAGACAATTAATGGTCAGCGGTTTCACCTTAAAGCAATATCTTACTAAAATGAAGATTCAAATGACAATTGGTAATCACCTACACTAAGCTATAAGAAATTAGGACCCTAATGGTAAAAATGATCCAATTAAATCACGTAATTATTTTGGAAGCGTGCCGATTTAAATGGTGAACAGCATAGCTTGATTTAAACATCCTACTGGAAGATATGTGACTTCTTCTTACCTTCACACAAAATTATCGCTGCTACTACTTCTTCGATCGGTATCATTGGCTTTGAATAAGATGCAATGGTGTTCCTCGTCTCTGTGAAACATATTATTGAACAAAATAATTACACGAGTAATTTTCATGAACTACCGTCATTGCTGAGAAGAAAATTCATAGAGAACACTGATAAATTTGATTTTTGATCTATGTACCCATGGTGTTTTCCAAAAATTAAAACAAATGTCTCAAAAATCGGTAACAATCTTGAATCATTTAACCACCCTCCATCTTTTACGATATTTCTGACGTATTGTGACCTTTTTGTTGATTCTTTGCGCTGAAATTAATAATTATGTTCACACATGCCACTCTAGTCTCTGAATTTATAAATTTGCTTCAGTTTCTGGACAGGACAGTGTGGTTAAGAATATCCTAAGGGTTATAGCAGGGAAGCTTCGAGCTGTCCCGACTAATGAAGTAAATATTTGTGGATAAGACAGTTAATCTATAGATTTCCTCTTAATTATCATTAGAAAGAAGTTTCACGTACCGATTAATAATTCATCATTGACGTTCAACAAATCGCCCTCACTATCTTCAGAAATAGCTTCTTTTCGAATAATGCGACGATAAGCAGAATATCCTGCAGACTTTCTTTCGATGAGATCCAAGTAAAGTTGAAGGAATACAAAGATCGTTCCACCAATTGCCAGGACGTAACACAACTTAGAAATCGAAATTCTTTTTACCTGGAAAGGGTAGAACAACACTACATTTCGTTACATATTTATCTTTTTTATATAGTTGGGGTTAAGACTTGTGGCGACAAATGCGCCCACCAGCCCGTTCTCTGTCAGAACTACATATTTATTAGAACAACTTATTGCGTGAAAATGTTTAATTAAAGATATAGAAGTGCGCAATATTTTTTATATGCGATTTATCCTTACTTATATTTTCCGAACAGAAATCATACATACCATATGGGTAAATATTATATTACTTACCGAGCCACGGCGGTGAAACATTGTTTTAAGAATTGATTAAGTGTAGATCTTTATTTCAATTCAAAACGATTGAGATTTCATGGAACTACTTGAGGAAGAGCTATGGATGTAGTAAGGATTGAATTCATAGAAAACTAATTTTGATGGAAATTCAATTTCATTTATTATTACAGGGGAATAGTGCAAGGTTACATTTGCCAAAACTGGAACAGAAAATAAGTGACATCAGGGAATCCCCAATTAACATTAACAATGCGCTATTAATGTTTATGATAATTATATCCTCGTTAGATATAAAAACTTTTTTTCAACGACAATATTGTCAAGAATTTTCGGGTAGTCCAAGCGAGACTCCCGCCTATACCGCAGGTACCCAACGATGAAGGAGTCCGTTCTTCTTGTTACCAGGCTTGCGTTTTCTTTTCATTTTATTTGCGGCAACATAGACCTTTAGTTGAATTTTCTTGTGCTTTTCAGGCACTCTTAAGTTTTTCTTGCATATCGCATATTTATTTCATTCGATTCCTTACGTAAAATTTCCTCAAAAATTAAAAAATTGAACCTCAATAATATATGAGGTATCATTTTTAAATTTGATTATAGTGATTACTCTGACTGAACACTTGTTATAGTTTATTTTTATATCTTCTCTAGCCGGGAATCTCGTCAAATGACATAAAGAAATTTATGATGAGCTCTTTTTATCTATAAAGGAGGAGCTAGGCTCTTCTGTACGTAACACCGTCTCTGTGCAACTGAATATTGCTCTGTATTAAAAGCTTGCTTTTACGGATAAAATTATCGTTATTAAAACACGTTTCCTGCGATGTGACCCACCGGTGGGTCACCACTGTGTTACGTGTACGGCGACGGCCAATATCGATGCTATTCGCCTGTTGCGACGATGGTATATGTACGATAACTTCAGTTGCATCTGAGATAGCTCGGAGTGAGGTTGTCAGTGTTTTGTTCTCATATGTTACAGCTTGATTAGGTGAGAAAAACAGTGACCCACGGGTGGGTCCCATCGCATCTGAAGATAATGTTTTTCTTGTAATGCGATGGGACCCACCGGTGGGTCCCATGTTAAATAATTGTATATGTTGAATTCACGATGCATAAGTTGTTTGTTCAATGTTATAATTAATTGATATTTTTTGTAGGTGTGACCATGAATGTTTCTGCTTTCTATAAGGGTCAAAAAAGATCTACTACTACTGCTAGCNGGTTCTTGAGAATGATTTTTTATATGGCGGTATCATTTGGAATTATAAGTAAAAGCAACTCCAAATTCGAGTCTGACTTTAAATGGTTGCTTCAATATAAAGCCAGCAAGTTTTCACGCAACTTTTTGAATCAATATTCGTGATATTCTAATTGGAACAATTTAGACTAAGAATATTTGAAAGTTTTGAAGCATCAAAGCTCCATACTCAGCCAATGACTCGCACAGATTTCATTTAGAAGCTCAAAAATCATGCAAAAAATGCATTTTCTCGCATATTCGTTCATGAAAACTGTGTTAATACAAAGTTTACATAATTTATCTTAATTTACGTTAATTGAAAATAATTAGCCAGATTTGCATTCCGAATTTCCGATTTGTATCTTATTTAGGAGGGGAATTATTTGTCGAATGCGTAGTTAATGAACGCCATAAATAGGCGATTAACGCGACTGACAGCCTTGATGCTCAGTCTTAAGATTGTATAATTACACTATAATTCTCCACAGCACTCGTGCACTCGTGACAGATGAATTTGATTGAAGTTTCTATGCATAATATACAAAAAGTGTCATTCAGCAATACTAGAGATAATATTAAACACCTTTCGTATTTTGTGCGGAGATATATCAATCCACACTTCGTGAATGACGTGAATAGATTGATGTTTATAATTCCGATAAGTTTCAGGTAACAATAAGACTTCTGGATTATAGCCTATAATGAATGCGAGATACACTGACACTTGAAGGCTATGAAGTTTATTCGTCGATGTTGATGTAGAATATTAGAACGAAATATAAATCAGCGTTATAGAAACAAATACCTTCGCTCATAACTTCTGACAGATAGTTTTGCGTTTTGTTCTCATATTTGTTAGTCCCGCAAAGGGGAAAAACAATAAAATTAGCTATTATTGTTAAAGTAATTTAAAGAAATTACTATTTAATATATATATATGTTAAAGGAAGTATATTATATGTTAAAGGAAGTATATTATATGTTAAAGGAATTATTAATTAGCTTAAGGAAATTATGTCAGCATGCAGTGACCCTCAATTCAACACTAAGAAAATGTAGATTTTGTCCTAATGGCGATGCACTACTAATTGTGTGGGCAATCCTGACCCAGATTTGCTTGGCTATAGGACGCATCAGAGCTACACGCAGTAAGTGAAATTATTTGGACAGTATGGCCCATTCAGTTTTCTGATTGACAGCTAATTTATTTAGCGCCTTAAATAATTTTGCACTCGAAATTAATTGGTGTATCGAACTCAAAAATGAAGCGATATGACAGAATTGGAGAAATAACGCAAATATTGGCAAATTAAAAAAGTATAAAAAAGTAGTATTGTCAAAAATATAGTTAGCCAATATTTTATCAGAAGCTCTAAAAAATTGTTCTTCAAAGCTAACACTTGAGAGCTCTCAAAGCGACTCAAGAGGAATTTGACAATCTATCATGTGAACTTGTCCTCGTAAGGTTACTAGAAAACAATCCTATGTTGTAACGTTAAGCACTGCCGCTCACAACACTGCCTCTGCTGCCTAGGGCTGCATCGAGAAGACTGCCGGACATTTCTGGCAGAGCTCATCTGTAGCAGCACAAGTGCACGTTAGTATGATCAAACCTAGAAAGATAAAGATAATTTACGGTTGAACATTGCAGTCCATTGCCTCCAATTGGATGGAAAACTTCGGGTTTCACATCTAATATAATTCAGACTCATTACTCCTATTCTTTACTTTGCATCGAAAAGACTGCCGAGCATCTCTGGATGAGCTCATCTGCAGCAGCACAAGTGCAGGTTAGTAAGATAAAATCTTGAATATATAATTAATATAATATAATATGCGGTTGATTATTGTAGTCTGTTGGCTCCAATTGTAAGGAAAATTTCGGGTTTCACATCTAATATAATTCAGAATCATTTCTCCTATTCTTTACTTTTATTTTTGTTCTTCTCTGCATTAACGCTGTGCAGTAACTCAATAATGTCAACAATTTAATGACTGCGAAATAAAAGTCACTTAAGGCTTGGTTGCAGATTTGATTTTGCTTATTTAAATTGTTAAATCATACAGATTTATACCCTAAAATTCTACTAGCTTAATCTTATATACGATGATTTTTAAATAAACTTCGGGCAACGCCTATAGGCTTCTGCCCAGGAGTCGCTTCACTAGGCACAAAGTTATTGTGGGTCTGCATGGCTACCCGATCGAAATTAGCTACTGAACAGAATCTCCATTCCAACTTTATATTCGCCTGCGAGAACTAGCAGAGCTGAGACATACCGAGCATGTAAAGCTGCGAAGAGGCTGCACTTCAAGCACAATTAAAGCCGAAACGGACAAATAGAGAGGTTGATTTGCGTTCTCCCTGATTCCTAAGCGACATCTATAGCAGATTCGTACCCGCATCTTAATTGTTCATTAAAAAGCTATTCATAAATCTCGACAAATTGTTTCACACTTCGCAAATTTGTGAGACCATCCTCTTATTCATATTATTCCGTTTCCTTTATTTATATCACTCCGTACTGCCTTGCGACTCAGTGCCACACCATTACCATGTGGGGCACACTACTTCCTGCCGTGAACGTAAATCTTGCCTGATTTATGCATACACACTAAATTAACATTTTAGTTGCAACATTTCGTTTAAAAATTTTACACCAAATGGAATCGCATATTTATTACACTCTAGATGAACAGAGAAGTTTGATTTGCGGGACACAAGTTCTATTGTTGATCAATATATTTCCAAAGAGAGCACTGGTTATTTTTCCTTCTCCAAAATTATCTCAAATTATAAATGTTCATACATAATCGTTAATTTAAGCCTTTAATATTTAGAACCCTAACATTCAGCTTGTTCCAATTTTCTCTTTTGGCTTTCGTTTCATTAAAATCAGTTGGCATTTATTTTGACAGGATGAGCTGCACGGAGCTTAGCGTGTCAGTTTCCCTGTGCTACCTGGCTGGTTTACACTAGCCAGGTGAAGCTCCTGCTCCCGATTCAGAGGACTTGCACCGGGCAGCAGCTCGCGCCTATCGTTTTTATTCCATTTTCTGTGTTTACTCTTCACAAATTCTATTCAATAAATTTAGTTCAAGTGAATGATTTTCTTTACATTATTCAATATAAGTTTAATTCAATCTTTCCTTCCGCAGAAAAGGGAGGTCACGTTTAAGATTTGTACACAAGTAATATATAATTGGGTGCTGAAGTAAGCTTCAGGAGAAAAAGAAATTGTGTTATTTCGAAATTTCAATTGATGGTAATGCAGCTGTCACATTTTAGACGTGGAAAATTCGAGAAATATGAGGTCGAGAAGCTCGAATTTTTTGAATTTCTCGAGTACACCTGTCAAGGGCAACCAACTCCTGCATAACTTTTGCCACGGAGCTGACAAATTAATGCTTGACATAAAACTCCCCTTGTAGCCGTGAAGAATTTACCTGTGCGAGGCGTATTACAGTAGCGAACAATTCTAAAGCAGAATATTGAATTTTGCATACATATAGAATATTCGTGCACAGATTAAACCGATTAAATATTGACAATAACAAACGAAATTGGAAATTACGAAGACATATACAACATATGGCCACTTGATTTATAGGGAGTTAATCAAAAATTAATCTCAATATAATCTGAAGAGTTAATCTATACATGTTGAATGTGAAATATCCTCACACACTCATTTACGTTATGGAATTCATGCTCACCTGGTGAACGGGTGGCGCACTTGTATGATGTCGAAGTATTTTTCCGCCATGTCGACGGCTTCCTGGCCTATTACTTTAAAAGTATCCAATGATGTCTGATGCAAGTCATCGTTACGGGGATACAAGGTCTCCATGTTGTTGATTTCGAAGAGGAATGTGAGCATCGTGCTTGATCCAGTCTGCCGACAAAACAAAAGAATTCTGAGTTGTTAATTTTAGGGTAAATACATGAAAAATGTTTTTTGAAACGTTTTTAGAAATGCTAAAAAATGTTTTAGTAAGCTGACCTTTTCAAGCTGGCAGTAGGCAAGTTCGTGTGGTTTTGAGACCCGGATCCAGGAGTCGATCATAGGCATGCTTGCAACCTTTCTATTGTTACACTTCTGCTTGACGTTCACCAACCGGCGAACTCTTTCTTCCATCAGTCTTCCTTCCTGAAAAGTGTCATGTTTGTTAAGAATTGTTCAGATGAGGCGAATGAGAAATGTGAGAGTTTTGGTTACCATAGCCTCACAAGATACGAGTAAGAAATGAGTTGGATTTATAGTGAAGTTTTACATTAGCAATATAAGATTTTGGCTCCAAAGTTTTTTTTTGTAAATAAATGCATAGTGGGAACAAAGTTTGTTCAAGTGATGATCAAAAAGAATGTTTAGACCTCGTATCTTATTAGGGTAACATGGGGCAGCGAGCCCACTGCGGGTCACGGGCCCATAGCGGGTTTCTCGCTAAGTAAGGCAGATATTGGTGCGTGTTCTCTACCGCCGGTCGACAGTTTCACTGAGATGAAGTGCACGGAGTTACTTCTTGCTAAGTGTTTGCGTTATTAAGTTATTTGTGAATGACTGTTTTAGCTCAGATAAAAATTTTTTTGCTGCTAAATAAAACTGTTTTAGATTACTGATGTAGATGAAGCTTTTGAAATTACTGTGAATTATATTTTGAAAGCAATGTTTATAGGGATAATTTTGAGATCAAATTTAGACTATTAGCTTTTAAAATAAAATGTTGACACGATATAAATTGAAATGATACCTATAGTGGGGCAACGGGCCCACGCGTGTCACGGAGCAAAGCGCCCATGGTGAAGTTATGTGTCATACATCAGTAGATTTGTCTCAATGACCTTTTCAAAACTATGACTAGCTTTTTGAATCACAAATTACACTTCATATTGCATGATTTTCTATTTGCCGCCTCAAGGCAGCAGGTTTAGTTTCTAGTTATTCGTATTTATGACCCCTTATCGAGTTTTTGACTCTAGCCTTGCCAAAAGTTGATTTCAGTCAACACCAATGAGCCAAAAGCTGATGAGTTTTTATGGTGTTGGCTGAAATCACGATTAGGTACGAATTCTCTGCACATAGTATCTGGATTATGAACGAAACTGGAACGAATTTTTTTTCTGATAAACTAAATATATTTTTTTCTAGTCAAGGATACATTTCTTCATGTCATGGACGAATTTTTTATCGCAAAGATATATTTTTCAAGTCAGGGATATATATTTTTATTTCACTGAAATATTTTTCTTCACGTCAGTGATAGATTTTTTAAGCCAAGAGTACATTTTTTCAAGTTAAGGATATGATTTTTTGAGTTGTTAATAAATGAATTAATGTCATTATTTTTATTACATTTTTCTTATTTTCAACTGTAAAGTGTTGTTTTATAATTTTGAAACGAAAAATATGCAATTTTGGTCTGTCTCTTATACACATCTAGATGTGTATAAGAGACAGATGGACAGCAGTTTAGACTATGGAAATGAATCCTGCGATCGATTTTCTAACGAAAAGTTTTTNGTTTCATTAAAAATTGAATAACTCTATAGGAGTCTAATTCACATCATACATTCCTCATTAGTTGTACCTTTAAACAAAACAAAGAACTACCTCGTATCAATTAAATCTTCATCAAAATTTTAGTTTAAAAAGGGGGGGGGGGGCGCGCTGCCCCATGTTGCCCTATCAGTTAAAAAAAATGAGAGCTAACGTTGGCACTTCATATATTTTAAACTCGTGGAGAGAAATTTAAATATTGAGTGATATGCGTACTACAACTCATGACAATTTCTAAGAATAAGTAGTTCAGTAGACAGTTATTCGTTTCTCATAATACTAACATCAGTTTCTTCAAAGGCAGTAGGAACAGGAAGGCCTTTCTCGATGATGGTTCTGAGATCATCCCTGCAGCTCCTATAGACAGCGACCAGTTTCTTAGGATCGTCTTCATATGCTTCTAGATTGCAAGGTCCGCCAGCCATTCTCTTCTGCCGCATTACAGCGCCGGATTCGATACCGTAGAATAATTTTCATCCTCAAACTGTGAATCACTCTGACGTCGCAGCACAAACATGATGATCGTGAGCGACGTTGTAAATATTATTATGCGTCGCGGAGAAAGACGGAATCCCATGATTTCTCCTATAATGAAATGGGGTTTCAAATTAAACACAAAATAATTCGAATATTATTTGCGCAGGTTTTTACGTAGATGGAAAGGAAAAATCACTGAACTAGCGATGTTAGGCCTGCAGGACAAAATCACGAAATATTTATTTACACGACACGATTAAACGCTGATATCTGACTTGAACGTAACAACTATAAGTGAACTTCACAACAATAAAGACAATCTAATTTCAAAACGCAAGGGATTATTAGTTTTATTCCTACATCTTTTCATATCCACGTCACTTCAGAAAAAAGGAAAGAAGCGAAATAATGCAAGTAGTGAAATCACTCTAAAATTTGCGTACATATTCAAAGACACGCCAATTATTTAGCAACATTGAAGCACAAATTCATATTTCAATTTTTCCAATAAACCCAAGAGCTCTGCACCACAACAACAGAACCCCACTACCTGTGACACGGGACTGTTTCATTTTTCGTCTGGATGTCGCTGTGACATTTATCAAATTTTAGCGCTAGCTGGAGAATTAATTCCACACTAAAGGCCAGGTGTGAGTTTTATCTCTCACTTGTCACTTGGTCGATAAAACCGATCAGTCCGTACGGCTGCGTCGTCTATGGGAAATGAGTCGCGTGTGAGCTTTGACGTTAACTGAAAATGCGACAATTTAATATTCGGGAACTTTTCAGTTAATTTGATATCAACTTTGCTGTGGCTAATTTTCAAACAATAATTATGACAGGAAGTGGCACTAATTCCTGTTGAAAAGAAACCAGAAAGAAATATTGTATGTATCCTTTGTCATAAAAATGGCCCAGGAAGCATGTAATTGCAACGACATCATATTATTGTTTTGAGGTAGTTTTAAGTTTAAATTTTAAGTATGTTGGTATTGTGAATAGCGAAGGTGGCATTAGCCACCATCCTAATTACTATTTAAAATGTAACGATCCAGTAATGTTGCAATATAATTATTTATCTTGATACACTCCTTGATCTTCTTCTTTACTTTTTAAAGTAAATCGCTCCTTGAAATCCGGAGGCAATATACAACTATGATCTTTAGGAATTCTCGTTCATGTAGGAGCTCAACTATATAAATATTAGTGTAAAATATGGTAAATTTTAAATATTAGCAATTTGGCTTTAAAAATATCACAAAAGAAAAATTTCCCAGGTCTCCTATAAGAACTTCATACTGTATGTAATTATTGCTATGCAGGATCAACTGTTCATCGAAAAACTGAACTATAATATAATAAAAAATCGATCGAACTATGATTGGCAGGGAAAATTCTCACATAAGATTCTTCTGGAAATTAAATTCGGTTCAACGATAAAACGATAAAATTTCTGTAATCTCGTANGCCGAGCATCTCTGGATGAGCTCATCTGCAGCAGCACAAGTGCAGGTTAGTAAGATAAAATCTTGAATATATAATTAATATAATATAATATGCGGTTGATTATTGTAGTCTGTTGGCTCCAATTGTAAGGAAAATTTCGGGTTTCACATCTAATATAATTCAGAATCATTTCTCCTATTCTTTACTTTTATTTTTGTTCTTCTCTGCATTAATGATATGAAGTAACTCAATAATGTCAACAATTGAAAAGAATTACTGTGAAATAAAAGGTACTTTTTGCTAAATAGCAGATTTTGCTTATTTAAATTGTTAAATCATACAGATTTATACCCTAAAATTCTACTAGCTTAATCTTATATACGATGATTTTTAAATAAACTTCGGGCAACGCCTATAGGCTTCTGCCCAGGAGTCGCTTCACTAGGCACAAAGTTATTGTGGGTCTGCATGGCTACCCGATCGAAATTAGCTACTGAACAGAATCTCCATTCCAACTTTATATTCGCCTGCGAGAACTAGCAGAGCTGAGACATACCGAGCATGTAAAGCTGCGAAGAGGCTGCACTTCAAGCACAATTAAAGCCGAAACGGACAAATAGAGAGGTTGATTTGCGTTCTCCCTGATTCCTAAGCGACATCTATAGCAGATTCGTACCCGCATCTTAATTGTTCATTAAAAAGCTATTCATAAATCTCGACAAATTGTTTCACACTTCGCAAATTTGTGAGACCATCCTCTTATTCATATTATTCCGTTTCCTTTATTTATATCACTCCGTACTGCCTTGCGACTCAGTGCCACACCATTACCATGTGGGGCACACTACTTCCTGCCGTGAACGTAAATCTTGCCTGATTTATGCATACACACTAAATTAACATTTTAGTTGCAACATTTCGTTTAAAAATTTTACACCAAATGGAATCGCATATTTATTACACTCTAGATGAACAGAGAAGTTTGATTTGCGGGACACAAGTTCTATTGTTGATCAATATATTTCCAAAGAGAGCACTGGTTATTTTTCCTTCTCCAAAATTATCTCAAATTATAAATGTTCATACATAATCGTAAAAATTTATAACCATATAGAACCGCATATTTATTACACTCTAGATGAACAGTGAAGTTTGATTTGCGGGACACAAGTTCTATTGTTGATCAATATATTTCCAAAGAGAGCACTAGTTATTTTTACTTCTCCAAAATTATCTCAAATTATAAATGTTCATACACAATTGTTGGCCCTGAAGAGAGGCTTGTTGAGATTGCGCTGCCTTCATGTCTTTACAATTGCAGCAAAGGATAACGTAGATACAAGTATGAATTCATCACATTTGTTGCTTGTAAATGGTCATATCTTTTGATTTTTGCTCATCAATTGCTGATGTTCAATGAAATATGTTACATTCTTTTATTTGTATATCAAGTTCCATTCATGGGATTGACGCAATTTTTTTAATAGTGTTCAATTCTCTAACTTGTAAGGTCAGGATTTGTGGTATGGATAAATCTTGGCTAGAACTGTTTTTTCCTTCCACTTACTCAACAAAGACCTTTGTAAAAATACCTTGGCATGGCGACAACATTCACTAGCGTTGCAAGATTCGGTGTTATACACGTGGAACGTAGTGCTATAAAAGCCAGCTGTTATAGGATTTATTGGTATAACTGAACGTGAATATAGTCTCCATATGCAGAGAAATATTCATATATAAGCGTTAACTACATTAGAGATGGAAAACAGGCACTAATTAAAAAGACAATTTATAGAGATTAAAATTACGTTAAAATAAAGATATTGTAATTTCTATTGGCTTTTCTGCAATTCAAAAATAAATTGTCTGTTTTAAAAATCTTTTGGAGCGGATTCGTTAGGTAGGTGTCCACTTCAAAAAATTCTTATTGAATAACAAGTTTGTCAATGATAGACTCAACAATCTTGTAATGTGATCAGTTGGATTGATACTATTCAATACTTTCTCGGTTCAAAATTCCTGTTATTATTCTTTTTCAGCATAATTACTATGAGTTGACTTTGAGTTGACTTTGAGTTGAAATTTCGTCTTCTGCATGGTACATTAACTGTCGTTACTGTTATAAAAATAAGGAGCTGTTAATGAGATATATATTTATATATACGGTTATTGTGAAATAAGAGATGCTATTTAAATTTGAACAACTATCAATGAAGGTAGCGTTGTTTGGGAGGATCAAATTCTGAACTATAGCAATATTCTATTAAACGTTACATGCATGAACCATGAATAAAGGGGCGTCTTGAATGCCTAGACTTGCGTTGCTGTGAACTCTCTGAGATCTCTGACCCATAGCTTACTAAGAACACTGCAACAATTGACATACAGATAAAATTTGGGAATAATAACTAATATTTGTACCGAAAATATCTGGCCAAATTAAAATTAAATTCGATGACAAAATTCAGGTAAAAGAAAAAAATAAACGCATGAAAAACAATTCTTAGTCGGTGTAGGAGAAATCTGAACTCTGAACGTATTTAAAAAGAGATCAATTAGATGGACGCCACATTGCCTGCTGCTTCAGTAGGTATGCTTCAGGATGGTTTTAATGAAATATAATCCTAAAGTTTAATTATCTGTACTGCATCCTGACTGTATTGGTTCACTTGAAATCTTAGTTTGATCAGTTCCCTTCTTTAAGTAAGCCTCTGCAAAAAAACTAATAATGCTCTCGGCATCAGCTTCAACTTGCTCTACGTTGCGTACACAATTCTTTTTACTTCTACATTAAAATTTGAACACTAAAAGATTCTTATTCATACCCAAGATAATCGATTGATTTTCGCTTGAAGCACTCTCTCTAAGATAATTAATATAATAATAAGGTATTTATAATAAAAGTTTTAGCGTCTACCTAATTTCAACGTAGGTTGCTTTCATTATGTGATATTAATTTAAATAAGTTTTATTACGTCCCGATATTTAAGCATAGTAAAATTGGAACCGTGAATTGATCGGTAGGCTGAACAACCATTTCTCCAGCCTGAAGATATAATAATTTGCACAGAGATTATTATACAGAGCGTTCAGCTCAATTCTCCGAATTAATCATATTATACTCTGAGGAGCTTAATTCCCTGAAAATTTTCAGTGCAGGCTAGAACACTAAATTTCAAATCTAATCTCGTTATCTGCCATTCGTCCTATCGCTCATGGCCATAAATTCAATTCTTCTCATTCATGTGGTAATTAAAACGATGAATTAGTTCGATATTGGCTCTTAAATGCATTTAATCGGCGCTGCCTAGATTGGCGGGATTTATGGATTGGATAATTTTTAAAGGGTGATTGATAAGCTAGTGACTCGGTTCTCTCTACGTAGAATTATATACCAAATAATAATTATAACTAAATCTTTTGAAAATAAGAGACTTATTCCAATTTCGATGTAAATTGTAATTACTACGTAGGACAAGTTGGGAAATTTCTGCGCGACGGCAAACGTTCATATAATAACTTGTCTCATGTTTCATAACAGCAAAGAGTCAAGTCAAAGTCAGAGCTTGCCCTAGAAACTGTTCAATCGGAGTATTTCGATTTGTGTCTTAGCTACAGACCTCCTTATTTACCCATATTCGATTTTCTCGAACACTCTACCGACATTAATATGAGATGTATATTTTTGCATATTGATTGTATTTTGCAACGATGTATTTCAAACCTTCAAAATATAAAGTTTCATATTTGTGATGCTGCCGTAGACTCGTTGAATGGATTAAAATTTAGGCCCGATTTAAGTCCTTCTTTTTACAAGAGATGTTCATGTTTTTAAATTACACTAATTACTCCACATTTGCCGCGAAAATCCGGATTTCATAATGAGCTCTGTAATATTTCATATGGTCAAATTTACATAATGTAATAAAAATCAATTAACGAAGTCTAAACAGCAGTCACGTCGAAAACGAGAGCTTGCCATCGTTGGCCAGCGATGGCCAGGGATTTGACTCCGGACGCACATTACGCGGCTGGACTTCCAGGCAGGCTGTTGGCAGTGTTATAAATGAATAAAATGAATATAGAACAATAATACCTGCTTCGTACCCACTTGTCCTTAGATACTCGTGCGCATATAGGAACGAGCTACACGTCTACTTGAAAGTTAATTCTATGCAGTCAAATTCTGCAAAAGTCCTATGAGCAATAATATGCAATATGGCAATTTTTTGTAAAATTTCAACGCTTTGTCGATGAATAGAACCATATTAATCACTATTGGTATAGTGATGAACTTTGCCTTAACTAATCCCCCTGTAGATCTAGAGACGGGATGAGTGAGGCAGAAGTGGAGACTCCATGTGCGCCACCTCAAATTTTATACCCCATCATTAATCGTAAAATAATGAGCTCTGTTTTGTTCATTTG